CAATTTATAAACTCATACCCCTGAAATAATGTGTAGAGTATGTTGTGGGTGGCAGGATTCCACCATCAGGGTCCTTACTGGAACTGTTGTTGTTGTTGTTACTTGCCGTTGAGTCAGCCCCGACTCATAGCGACCCCTCCTTGGGTTTCCGAGACAGTATCACTACAGAAGTAGATTGCCCCATCTTCCTTCTGAGGAGTGGCTGGTGGGTTTGAACCGCCAGCCTTCTGGTTAGCAGTCAAGTGCCTTAGGCACTATGCTACCAGAGCTCCTAAAACTGTCAATTCTCTGCTTCTGCACTGCCATGAAACATAAATTTATTTAAAGCTAAATAAGGTAGAAAGGTGCAATTTGTCCTATTTCATTTGGGTAATGTCTTCAATTCTACAGTGCACAGTTAGACCAGAGCAGATGTTTCTTCTTTAAGTGGCAGACTCAGTGATGTTGGACATATATATATATGTTCACTCTTTCAATTCCTGAGTAATCTAAAGATATATTACATCTTATTATTTTCTAGTACAAAGATGTATAAAATCATCATATATTAACTTTGATGAGCCATCATAATTTAATATAAATCATATCTTCATAAAATTTCATTGGTAAGATAGTTGGCAGGCTAGATTTTCTAAATGAGCAAAAATACTTCCTCTTGAAACCTCAAATATTATTGTGAAATCAAATAAGAAAAGTGTGAAGGCTACATTGAAATCATCAAAATGCAAAACCTTACGAACTCTTAGAATTGAGAGTATTCATATTGTTAATGTCAATGAAGAAGGAGCTTTATATTACTTCCAGTATTATTTCATCTTCTGTATTTTTTAGCTAGATTTGTTAAACATAAAATTAGCAAAAAACGTTATGTTCTCTGAGAACACTCATATGAATCTTTTTGTAGATCTCATTAATCACTTGACTCTTTTCATAGCCATCTGTTGGAAATTGATTTTTTTTCCAGACATACTTTATTGAATCTGTTTTGTTTATTGAGCCCAAAATTATTGACTGTCAGCACTATGTGCTGTAATAGTGACATAGTATAGGCATCTGACCTCCTCTAACTTCACAAGGGGGTAGGAGGATCAAGATCAATAGCACAGGTCTAATTCCTATGAGGTGGAGGTCAAACATGCCTCCATCCTCCAAACTTTTTACCAATTCTGACACCAACGGTTCTTCTCACTCTCTACTTCTCTACTGCAATGGTTATGCAGAATTCATAGACCCTACTCACAGTTATGGGGTTTAGTAGAGAAATAAGTGGTTACAATTTTTGGCCAGGAATGCTCAGGACACATTTCTTTGATCAAGACAGCCTCTTCTCAGCTGTGCCATAATCAGGCCTGGCTTTGGCCCTCAGCCTCTGCACCTGGCCTCTGTCCTACTTGGGCAGGTGTTACACTGTTAGCTCTGCTAAGTGTCCAGAAGCACCCCTCCCTGCTACTAAGCCTCGGCCCTAAGGCACTCAGCTCTAGCTCCCTCAGTCCACAAACCTAGCTCACCAAGTCTCCAGAGGCACCAAACTCTGCCAGCAAACCTCCAGGCTGAGGACATTCAGCTTTCTCGTTCCGTGGATAGGAAAGTCCACCACACCTTCTGCTCTTTGCCTCCTGGCAGTCTCATTATTCTGCTGCCATCTTTTCTTTTCCACTGCTTTTCACTGTTGGTGGTATTACAACTCTCTCTTTTTCTCTCTCTCTCTGTTTCCTGATTGGTGGTTCAAACCCACTCACCACTCTGCCAGGAAAAAAAAAAAAAATAGCGACCTGCTCCTGCAAAGATTTAGGCTTAGGAAACCATATACAGCAGCTCTACTCTGTCCCATTGTCTTGCTATGAGTCAGAATCCACAGCATGAAACACAACAACTAATTCTATGACAAGCAGATTTGATGTATCAGGACTACTTCTAACCTAATTTTATTTTCTTAGCCTATCACCCTTCTTTGGTAGGAAGGCTGGGCAATCTACTTCCATAGTGATATTGCCTCAGAAACCAAAGGAGGGGTCGCTATGAGTTGAAGCCGACTGAACGGCAGTGAGTTTGGTTTGGTTTTGGTATCATCCTTCTACCAAGAACTAAACCAAACCCATTGCCATCCAGTCTATTCCAACTCATAGTGACCTGCACTAGGTTTCCAAGGCTGTAAACATTTATGGAAGTAGATTGCCTTATCTTCCTTCTGTGGAATAGCTGTTGGGTTTGAACCACTGACCTTCTGATTAGTAACCAAATATCTTACCCCCTACACCAATAGAGCTCCTTTCCCCCTTCTACAGTGGTTCTTAAACTTTAAAATGTATAATCTAATGAACTTATTTTAATGGAGATTCCTGGACTTTATCATTAGAGAGATATACCTAGTCTGGGAATGTGCATTTTCACAAAGACTAGCTATATGGAATCTGGTAATCTTTGGATTCAATTGGACATTTGTGTGTGTGTGTGTGTGTGTGTGTGATTTTTTTTCTTTTCTCCAGGATTTCCTATAGCTCCTAGTGAATGTGCCAGGAAGCCTAACACTCTTTTGTCCTTCTATATGCCTGAGTTAAATAAACAACAACAAGCATTCTGACTTAATAAGGAGAGACTTTATTAACAGAGATTATTGCAAGTTGGGAGTACTATTTCAGAAGGAAGAGGAGTCTTTTGCAATAGGGAAAACAGCTCTGACCATAAGATTAGCAAGATAATTAGGCAAATTTTTTTCTTTAATAGAGAGCACTGTGAACAAGGCCAGAAAGAACCGAGTGTGAGGCAGTGGTATAAAGAGGTGGTGTGATTGGAAAGTAAGTCAGAGAATGCTTTATGCTGAGACCAGCCTATCCTCCAGGGGATCCCTTAGGTGGCATTGTTTGTTGGGTTAAGCTGAGAGTTTGCCAAAGTTTAAGGACTTAGGAAAGGAGAGAGACCTAATCTAATTTTAATTAACAAACATCTTCTCTGATTGATCAGTGGGGACAAACAGTTCCAGAAATAATTATTGGTAATTTTATGACAGACAGATTTTATGCATCAGAAATACATCTAGTACTAGTTTTAATTTTGGAAGGTCTGTGTCTGCCTTTTCACAGATAAACAAAGAGGCATTCATGAGTCTTAGTTAAATGGAAGGTTGGATTTTTGCAATAAACCATTTTCTGCAACCCAAAATATGAGAAGATTTCTTTACCATGTCTGTTTTCCAGAGACACAGAGTTTTGGTAAAACTCAGCTATGCAAACTTTCTCAATCCCACCCACTCATGACTGTCAATTTAGATTTAGTTGATCCATGCTCATTTATTATCTTCACATGAAGTAACCATATGACCTTGATATGTCAGTTTACCTGTCTCCTGAGAATGATGTCACTAAATTTTGCCTCACACAAAGACAGACTCTAGTGTAGAGGTATCTGGAAGAAAATGATGAGGCAATGCCCCTCTTATAGACTGACAGAAGAATGTTTTTTTAACCATAGTCTCAAACTATATCAGCTTGGAACTGCTTATCTGAAGGAAAATGCATTGCAAGAATTAATTGCTTAATTTAAAAAAAATGTTATAATCAATGTTACTATTAAACCAAATTATTATGTGCATTTTATAAATGAGCACACTGAACCTCAATAACTTGTCCACCATCACGCACTGCTAAGTAGGTGGTGGAGCTGGAATTTGAACTCAGGTGATCTCTCTCCAAGGTTCAGTGGACTTATCCACTGTACTAATACTGCCTTTCTCTTAGTCAAAGCACTGTCCTTTTGCAACCATAATTTATATACAATGACATCCAGTATGTTACACGAATGAAAAAGAAATAACAGCAGACAAGTAAAATTATTTCAAAATAAAACAGGACAATGCATAGGATAGTTTTCAGTGTTTCTCAAATCAAAGATCTCTACGTCTCCTCACTTATCACCTATCTCATTTTCTGACATTTCATATTTATGAAAACAGTAAAAAATCTCCTATTTTGCACATTAACAATGTATGTACGGCATTAACAAATGCTGAGGTGCAAGGTAAAAATAAGGTTATGTATCAACTTGGCTGAGCAATGATTCTCAGTGGCTTGACAGTTAAGTTATGAAGTAATCTGGCAGTTATGTAATAATGAAATTTGGCAGTTATGAAATGATAAAATTTGACAGTTATGTAGCAAAGTGATTTGGAAGTTATATAATGATGTATTCATCCTCCATTTTGTGGTGATATGTTTATCCTCCATTTTAGCCTAGTGCCAATTTTCACATAACAACCTGGTCTTTGGAACCTAACTATGTTGATAAGTGAAGAGAGAGTGTATTTCAACTTCACATTATAGGGAATTTCTATTTAAGGAAAAAAAGCTCAGTATGCATGATGGCAATATAACGCATGTCTTATATTCTCAGAAGAGAAGATAGTAGTTCCTCATGTATGTGTCTGTGTATGTGTGTGTATACATTCACTTTTTTCCCTGAAATCAAGGATACTCCATGGTACAGATGAATTTTTGTATCAGAAAGGGCAGCCTTCTAATTCTGGCCTATGGTTTCCTTGACAGATGATCTGAGCCAATTTACTTACCTTAATTAATCTTCAGCTTCTATGAAATGGGCATGACAATACAAGGCTGGGTGAATATTAAATGAGGTACTTATGTAAACTGTTTAACACAGTGCTTGAAACATAGCAGTCTCACTATAACCAGTGCCTATTTACCACTGTTATTATTATTACAGAAAATTTAATAGAATATAAAAACATGTTCAGATAGAATAATTTTAGCTGAATGAATAAATGGTCAAAGTTTATTTGATATAGAATCTTCATTTTAACAAACGTTATTCAAATATGTAAACCCTGTTTTTTCTAAGTAACAAACAGAAGAGAACTGCCAATGACAACATCTCTGTCTTCAATGCTCTGTCAGGTTTGTTCCCATGGTTCTACCATAGAGGTATGATTGCAAAATAGTTATTTTGTTCCTTTGTCTCTTCAGAAATGGCTCATTTATCTTTACCAGGTAATCAACTCAGCACTCAACTGCTAGCCATGGCATCACGCCTGCGGGAGAGCGTGGAACTCTTTCAGTCAGATGAGATGCGTCCTGCTAATGATCCCAAGGAGCGAGCTCCCATCCGCATCCGAATGCTGAATGATGTTCTCCAAGACATGGAAAAAAGCTTCCTGGTGAGGCAGGTGCCACCAGGTTTTTATCGGTAGGATATGAGTTTCAAAATTTACATTTTATTATTCCTCAATTGAATTGTTGATGTTTCATTTTCAGAATATATATATAACATATAATATATATAATATATAAAATTATATATATATATATATAACCATAATGTTATTTAAAAAGAAAGTGAGAATTTAAAGCTGCATAGATATAGAATAAAGGAAACTTGATTTATCTGTTGCATCTAGAACATTTCTAAGATTTTTATTTTATATTAAGGTTAGTATCAGTCAAACATGATATGGCTACTGAAAAAAACAGGTGCAATTACAGGTTGCATTGAGAGAAATACATTATCTAGAAAGGATAAGATCAATCCATGCTGTTCTCTCTTACTAAGATCAAGCTACAGCATTCTGTTTAATTATACACTCCATGTATGAGTTCAATAAATTCAATATTCAGGAGAGAGTAGTATTTATATGGAATTCAAAACAAGTAAGGGGTTAGGAATATTTAGTTGGGAGAGTCATAATATTTCTGAAAACTTTTTTTTTTTTTATGATTTCACAATGAAGAGGAATTAAATTTGAGCTCTTAGAAGATGAGACCAATACAATATGGTTTTATTTTTGAGGTTCCTGAAGTAGAGAAAAGTAAAAGAGAAAATGTATGTTGTACCATAGTTTAAATGATTTATTTAACTGATTCTTCAACAAAATACACAAATATATATATCCAAGTATATATATATATATATATATATATATACTTGTATAATATATACAAGTGTAATATGTGTGCATCATAATTTAATGTATATCTATGTGTGTATGTTCAGTGTGTGTGTGTACGCGGATCCTTACAGTAGATCCTCATTATTTGCAAATCCTGAATTTGCGTATCTATCTGTTGTTGTTGTTGTTGTTGTTATGTGCCATCGAGTCAGACCCTACTCATAGCATCCCCTCCTTGGGTTTCTGAGGCAGTATCACTACGGAAATAGATTGCCCCATCTTCCTTCCAAGGAGAGGCTGGTGGGTTTGAACCTCCAGCCTTCTGGTTAGCAGTCAAGTGCCTTAGCCACTATGCTACCAGAGCTCCCATAGCTACCTAGTTGTTAAAATTTATTTGTTACCACATAATCAATACAGCACTTTTACAGTCATTTGTGGAGATATGCAGAGTAGGAGATTATTGGAGTGGTCCAATGGGCACGCTCCCAGCTTAGATAAAACAAGGGAATACTCTGCCTTCTTGTTTCAGCTCTCATACTGTAAACAAATATACTTTTCACAGTATTGTTAATGTCATGTTTTACACATTTTTGTGCTTTTTTTTTCCAATTTCGCTGTTTGAAATGACCTTAAAGTGCTGAAGTACTGTCTAGTGTTCCTAGGTGTAAGAAAGCTGTGATGTGCCTTATGAAGAAAATACATTACTAGATAAGCTCCATGCAGGCACGTGGCATAGTGGTATTAGCTCAATGTTAATGTAATGACAGCATAGACTAAATAAGGGGTCTCTAAACAAACATAGGGAGCTCTGGTAGCATAGTGGCTAAGGCACTTGACTACTAACCAGAAGACTGGCGGTTCAAACCCACCAGCCACTGCTCGGAAGGAAGATGGGGCAATCTATTTCCATAGTGATACTGCCTCGGAAACCCAAGGAGGGGTCGCTGTGAGTCAGGTCTGACTTGATGGCACATAACAACAACAATAATAAACAAACATAAATAAAACAAAGCTACATATTGATCGATTGACAAAATATTGTGACCAATGTCTCACAGGAACTTATTCTTGTATTTCTCCTAGAAGCAATGGTTCATTATTTACTAATTCAGTGTTCACAGTACCTTTATAGAACAGCTACATAAAGGAGCTCTGGTAGTATAATGCCTAAGGCATTTGACTGCTAACCAGAAGGCTGGCGGTTCAAACCCACCAGCTGCTCCTTGGAAGGATAGCTGCTCCTTGGTAGTGATACCTCCTCAGAAACCCAAGGAGGGGTTGTTATGAGTCAGATCTGACTCGATGGCAGTGAGTTTGTTTTCTTTGTGTTTACATGAATAATGGGAATCAACTGTATATAGATTGTATTACTATGTACTAAAGACATCTAAATTTAAAATGCTTTATGAATGACAGTTCTTAGCCAAATAGTCTTCCTGCCTCATTCTTCCCCCCAGGTCCTCTTTGCCCTGCATTTCCTCTCTCCATGTTGTATATGACCAAAGGATACAACTAGAACTAAAGATTTGGAGAAACAGCAATACACATCTTAATTGTGTATCAGAAAAAGTTCTTAGCAAGCAGTGTCCTTTAAAGTCTGAATATGATGCTTGTATAGAATGGTAAAGTTTGCATCACTACAGGTATTTAAAGATAAATTAGGTAACACTAATCATCATCTAAATATTTAGACTAGATGAAGTTTAGTCAAGTTTAAAGTGCGTTTTAACACCAAAATTCTGTGTGTTACGGCAAATTACTTAATGTCTCAGTATCTTAAGTTCTACATCTAAAATATAAAATGATGGAATGAAACCTTTTCATAATAAAATGCATTTGTTCCTCCTTGCATTTGGTGATTTTTCTTTATGATCTTATACTCAAATTTAAATTCCTTATTTTATATTATTCCTCCTAACACTGGAACCCTATATCATAGGACTTTGGAAAATATTTATGCATTCCATCAAATATTCAAATATAAGGCAACTAGTAGCTATGTAAACCCCTTTAAACACCAGAGATACAGCAATCGCCTATTGGTTTAAAAATAAAACAACAATAAAAAAATTACCTTGTCTTCATGAGGTTTATTCTAGTAATGGAGGTGAGGAGACAGACGACTACCAAAATTAAGTAATTAAGTAAAATGCATTGAATGGTAGACGTGATAAGTGCTAAAGAGAAGAGTCAAGCTGCGTAATTAAATCTAGTATTATATACTCCTTACTAGAGGTATCTATATTTAAGGAAGAAAATTATGAAATCTAATTCCATTTCATCCATTTATATTTCATGAAAAATTCTTAAATTCATAAAAATGATTTATTCAAAATATAGTTTCATGTATTATAATTTAGTCAATTATTTTTCCCTTTGTATTTCTTAGTATTTCCAGTAGATATCAGAAGACCTCTTTATGGCTTCAGTTATGCATCTAATAGGGTTTTTTTTTCCCCACATTTAAAAGGGTTTTGTTTATTTGTTTTGTTTTTACATTTTCTTTTTTTTTTTTTAATGATATCCCAAGAAACACATTTTGGAGAATGTTGTGTTTTTCTGTTTGATCTATCTCTTCAAATAGCTGACTTAGCTCTGAATGACTTTTGTGTGTTTATGTGTGTGTGTGTAGGAGAGAATGTAAAAACATTTGTTTATCAATAGTATTTAATATTTATACTTGTTGTTGT